ACATACATTGGTGGTTTAACAAAAGCCTTCATTAGAAAGGTGAAGGAACATACAGTGAACATACAGATTAATGTTTACACACGTAGATCATGTGAGCTGAGGTGTTGAACAGCAGACACGTAGTGTAGTAACTCCCTCACAGATGACGTTACGAAGGGCCTGATGATGTAGTAATTCCCTTACAGATGGTGTATGAGGGGCCTGATGTGGTGTGATACTTCCCTCACAGATGGTGTATGAGGGGCCTGATGTGGTGTAGTACTTCCCTCACAGATGGTGTGAGGGGCCTGATGTGGTGTAGTACTTCCCTCACAGATGGTGTATGAGGGGCCTGATGTGGTGTAGTAACTTCCCTCACAGATGGTGTATGAGGGGCCTGATGTGGTGTAGTACTTCCCTCACAGATGGTGTATGAGGGGCCTGATGTGGTGTAGTAATTCCCTCACAGATGCTGTTATGAGGGGCCTGATGTGGTGTAGTAATTCCCTCACAGATGGTGTTATAAGGGGCATCACATGGCGTAGTAATTCCCTCACGGATAGTGTTATGAGGGGCATCATGTGAACGAGTTACTGCAGCACGTGAGGTCCTTCTGTCAACACCTGTGGACGAGTTACTGCAGCACGTGAGGTCCTTTTGTCAACACCTGTGGACCAGTTACTGCAGCACGTGAGGTCCTTCTGTCAACACCTGTGGACCAGTTACTGCAGCACGTGAGGTCCTTTTGTCAACACCACCAGCTGACGAGTTACTGCAGCACGTGAGGTCCTTCTGTAAACACCTGTGAACTAGTTACTGCAGCACGTGGCCTTGGTGACCTCACACAGTAAGGCAAGAGACTAGCCCGGGCCATCAACTGTAAACTATAATAATTTGTTTGTTCAGTTCATGTTCCTTCTCCTTTCAGTAATGAAAGCTTTTGTTAAACGACCCACCCACCCCATGTCTTTATATGTAATAAGTCATTTTTATCTAATGTATATTTTCAGCATTTGGTCTGCTGAAGTTTTTCAATAAACCGTTAATTATTTTTAGTAGTAGTAGGTAATAGGTAGTAGTCAGCTGTCAAGGGGGTTACTACCGCCTGGGAAGTTATTGGAAGCATAATGTATTGTCAGCATGCTCTCCTCGCAAGCGAGCTGACCCGGGTTTGATCCCCGGTCAGGGTGAAACTATGGGCAAGTTTGTTTACGCCATTTGCCTCTGTCTACCCAGCAGTAATTGGGGACCTGGATGTTAATCGATTTGCGGATCGTGTTCTGGGGTAATGGTTAGCCAGTGAGGTTGGCGAGTTGTCCGGTCTTCTCGGACTATTCCTTGACACTGGGTCATGCAACTCGTTAACTTAGGGTGAGGTTGTTGTGTTGGCGACAGCTTCTACACTTTAAACAAAGTCACGCCTCGGTGGCCCTTGGGCCGTCCATCCTCGTACACGAGGGGCATCAATCATATATTTATTATCAATGTAGATGTATGTATTTCTATTTTATATTTTAAGTAAAAATAACAGAATAGTAACATTTGTCGTAGTATTTATTAAATATAATTATAATAAAATGTTTGGTTGTATCCTCATTCGCTTAATATAAGACAAATAGTATTAGCAGCTTCTCTTAAGTCTGTTGTCTTGCTGTTGGTCAGTGATGAAGTGATACAGTACAGGTTTTGTTTCACTGTAGATGGCACGTCCCGAGTTAGCGCCCGTAGGCGTTGAAAGTTTTGGCAGGTTCCTTGTAGTTGTAGCCGGTGTTGGCAGTCTGCCGGTAGGTGCTGGTGGCCGTCACGGTGTTGTACTGCTGGTTGAACACTGTGGAGGACGTAGTTGGTCCTGTAGACCACGCTGGTCTGGCACTCAGTGGTCTGACCCGGTAGCTGCGGACGTAGGTGCTGTACACTGTGGTGTACCTGGTCCTTGCGGGCAGGTTGACCACAGCCGGTACCACCTGTTGGCTGTAGATGGTTGTGGGGCACCACCTGTAAGCGACACCCCGAGTGCTCACCACCTGCTGGGGGACGGCAGGACGGTCCTGGTGACGTACCGGCACCTGCTGTGTGCGGTAGACGGTGGTCACCTGCTGCTCAGCCTGGGTGCGCGTCATTACGTACTGTGTCTGGTGTTGGTGACCACCACCGAGAAGATGGTAGTGACGGAACCATTGCGGAGGTGATGACCTGGGTCTTGGCTCATTGTGTGACGGTTCCGGTGATGTGACGTTGGTCCTCACAACATTTTGTTTTTACCACGTCCTGGCCAGGTACTACCACGGTGGAGCAATGGTGCTGTACTGAGTACTGGTCCACGTACGGGTCTGTCCAGGTAGCTGTTGGGTCCTGGTGACAAACTGTGTCTGGTAGACGGTGCTCACCACCTGCCGAGGAACCACCTGTGTAGAAACAACATTCCTGACAACAGTTGCTGGGACCTGCAGGATGCTGGTGAGCATCTGGTCTGGTACGACCTGTGTCGTCACAGGCTTATTGTACGTGACGTAGTTGACTTGTAGCAGAGTGACGACCTGTGTGTGACGTTCTGGTTGGGTGCGGGTCACAGGTCACTGGCAATCTGGTACTGACGGAGGCACCACTCCGTGCGGACCACCTCAGAGTACACATAAGTGGTGTATACCCGCTGTGTGCGGACGGACGTCTGGGTGACGTATTGCACGTCGTTGTTGTTGGTAGACGGTGGAGGGATGAGACCTGGGTGGAGTACTGGGTCTGTAAGGTAGATGTGAGGCCGACAGTAGTCGCGTTGTGGTAAAGGTACCCGTTCTGAGACGATTGAGATTCAGTCTATTTTCCCACACCTGCCGCCGCCGCTGTCGATCTAGCGAGACCCTATATGCGCCCACTCAGCAGAGTCAATAGCACCACCTTCTATTTTGCTGTGAAAAGTTAGATGATAAGGGACATTATAAACAGGAACTTTTATAAAGACTCTTCAATAACATGATTATTGTAACAACAACCGAAGTTGAGACTTACCAAGAGTAGCGTCTAGGGCGGTGATACAGGTTTATCAGAAAAAGATCATGTTATTTTAAGTAAGTTATATTTAACATATAAATACAAATCTGTACAAAGTACCGGCAAGATGGTTCACAAGAGGCACAAGATGTGGCCGCCTGCCTCACTACCACAAATAATAACGTCAACTTTCGTTATGTTAAGATTATTAAGTTTTTGTCGTCGTTTAGGAAACATGATAATCTAGACCTCAAATAACACCCTACTTCTTATCCTCTGATATTAAAAGGTCTCATTGGCTGCTGGTAGTTGTATCCGGTCTTGCCACAGGTGGCGGTGATGGTCTGTGTGACGGTCACCTGTCGTGGTTGGTTGACGGTCTGGTAGACCACCTGCTGTTGTTGTTGAGTTCGAACAACTTATGTTTTGTGATAACCGGTTCTGACTGGCACTTGGACCACTGGAGGGTCTGCACTTGTTGCTGGGTTTTGACTATGTGGGCGGGGGGTGACATACTGGTCTGACCACCGTCTGGTACCTGGAGTGAAGGGCTGAACCCCTGGTCTCGTAACGGTGGTGTAGATGGTGGTGGGCACTACCTGTGTTCGCACCACCTCCTGAGGGACCACCTGGGTTCACCCAGTTCGCGACGATGCTTGGTCCTGGTCACCACCTGTTCGCGAGAGCAACGTAAGTAGTCGGTAACGCGTGTTGACGAAGTAGGGAAATGATTGCTGGCGCTGTACGTAGGGAGGCAGAAACATTTTGCCTCGGACATAGCTGGTCTGACCTGTTGCCGACTGCGTCGAGGTAACGGTGGAAGCGAGTGTGTTACCTGTCCCTGACGGGCGGACGACGGAGGCAGCGTCTGAACGACGGTCTGGACGCGGGTCTGTACCACGTCACGGCTCTGGGACGACACGCCGACGCAACGTTGCTGCGCCCGGCCCGAGGTTATGACGGTCTGCTCGGACCGCACCTGTAAGCCACCTTACAGGTACTACCTGTGTTTGTACCTGTGTGCGGGTGACGTGAAGGACCGGTGGCACGACGCGAGTTGAGGTAAACATAACGAGTCTCCCCACGAGGTGGATTTGGCACAGTGTTTGGTTACGACTTGTCATTGACCACGTTGGTTGTACGCTGACCACGCTGGTCTGGTACTGACCTGTAAGCTTGGACACGAGTCCGGTAGACCGTGCTGGCACCACCTGTTGTCTGACTTGTGTTGTGGATGTACTGTGTGTTGACTCAAGGACGGTCTGACGTTGACGGAGGTCTGACGCGGTGCCGTACACGACAGAGGTGACAGCTGACAGACGGGATTTGGTCGAGGCAAGTAACCTCCTGAGGAGAGAGGCTGAGGCCAGGCAGCCACCAGCAGCGTCGTTAGTCAAACGCCACATCCTGCAAAGAAATTCCATTAAAGAACAGTGTGATTGAACCCCTTGCGCTCGGCAACTTTACATTTGGGAATAAAGTCCAATCACGCCGCCCCCAGTAACGTTCTATGCTTTGTAATGACCCGGAGAGGACTTTATCGCCCAGATGAGCCGCGAGGCGCTGACCCGTCACCGAATTATTATACACACACAAACACACACACACACACACACACACACACACACACTCACACACAGCGTTGGTGATGGTACGACACAGTGAAACAATTCTTTGTCTCTCCACTTTTAATGAGCACCACAGCTCTGAACTTATAAACTTAACCCGTGGAGGTGGAGGTGGACATCCAACTTGGTATTTTCCAACGCCGTTTTCATTAAGTTCCAACTTGGACTTTACCATCAGAGTGCTGAAGCTTATGACTGAATATATATATTATCGTCTCAAATCCTAATAAATACCCCAAGTATTCATTTTGCTGAATAAGAATTTTTCACAGGATAAGGTCCGTATTAGGCGAGAATACCGAACTAGGAGTGAAGTCAGTACTCGGCGAGAGTACCGTACTGGGCGGGAGGTCCGTACTGGGCGGGAGGTCCGTACCGGGAGTGAGATAGACTGTTGGCACCTACCTTGTGTACAGTAGGTCGGAGGGAAGATAGGTGAGTGGTCGCTGTGGGGAGTGACGCTGGTCTGACGATTTACCGTTCACCATTAAGTATTTATACTGACGCGGACGCGGCGGGAGAAGGGGCGTGGAGAAGGACGTTTGTGGGAGGGACGGAGCGGGGGGAGAGAGGACGGAGGAGGGAAGGGAGAGTGAGGGGAGGGGCGAAAGAGAGAGACCCTGTCAACAACTACGGCTCTTGTCGGTGGTCCTTCGCTCTGCTGGCTGGGTTTTGATCCTCTTTTATAAAGGTCATCTCTGGCTTCCCGATTGCACTGAGTCAGTCCTCACCTCGGCGCTTCAACTCTGTTTCCCCAATTAACTGGTTTGAAGTCATCGCCAGACGCCCAAAATCGCCAGGCATCCACTGTTGTTAAACGACCACCAGCGTCAGGTGATTACCATCGCAAGGTGTCCACCCTCGTTAGGCGTCCACCCTCGTTAGGCGTCCATCATCGCCAGGCGTCCACCATCGCCAGGCGTTCACCGTGGCCTGGCGGTCTCATCCTTGGTGGCCTCTATTCAGCAAGACGATGTCTATTAAGAGTTTTGGGTGATGAATGGGAGACTCACCTGGCTAAGATGTCTTTAATGGTGAGGTCATACCTGGATTAACTCTTTACGGACGATGAGTTAAGCCATGATCCTTTGAGGAGGATGCCTTAAAACTTAAGCCCTCGTCCTCAGAGGGTTATAACTTAAACCCTCGTCCTCAGAGAGTTATAACTTAAACCCTCGTCCTCAGAGAGTTATAACTTAAACCCTCGTCCTCAGAGAATTATAACTTAAACCCTCGTCCTCAGAGAGTTATAACTTAAACCCTCGTCCTCAGAGAGTTATAACTTAAACCCTCGTCCTCAGAGAGTTATAACTTAAACCCGTCCTCAGAGAGTTATAACTTAAACCCTCGTCCTCGAAATTATAACTTAAACCCTCGTCCTCAGGAGTTATAACTTAACCCTCGCCCTCAGAGTTATAACTTAAACCCTCGTCCTCAGAGAGTTATAACTTAAACCCTCGTCCTCAGAGAGTTATAACTTAAACCCTCGTCCTCAGAGGTTATAACAAACCTCGCCCTCAGAGAGTTATAATTTAACCCTCGTCCCCGAGAGTTATAACTTAAACCTCGTCCTCAGAGAGTTATAACTTAAACCTCGTCCTCAGAGTTATAACTAAACCCTCGTCCTCAGAGAGTTATAACAAACCCTCGCCCTCAGAGAGTTATAACTTAAACCCTCGCCCTCAGAGAGTTATAACTTAAACCTCGTCCTCAGAGTTATAACTTAAACCCTCGTCCTCGAAGTTATAACTTAAACCCTCGTCCTCAGAGAGTTATAACTTAAACCCTCGTCCTCAGAGGTTATAACAAACCCTCGTCCTCAGAGAGTTATAACAAACCCTCGTCCTCAGAGAGTTATAACTTAACCCCTCGTCCTCAGAGAGTTATAACTTAAACCCTCGTCCTCAGAGAGTTATAACTAACCTCGTCCTCAGAGTTATAACTTAAACCCTCGTCCTTAGAGAGCTATAACTTAAACCCTCGACCTCAAAGGAATTATTAAACTTAAAATCGTCGACCTTTTAATATCCTTCAGTATATCACCTTACCTACATACGAGTAATTCGATACACTGAGCTGAAAATATCATGATTATGTCACTCACTATTGTGGCTTAATTCAGTGTTGTGTAATCAATAATTCCATCTACAGTATTACCGTAATTAAAGAGTATCTAAATTAATTATCTCTTTCATAACCCTGAATTAACCTGCCTGGAAATTGTGATGGTGAATTTGGTGAAAGTATGAAGTCACGTGTGTGTATATGTGTGTGTGTGTGTAGAAGCTCACATGTAATTATATATGTGCGTGGTTGTTTGTATGTACGTGCGTGAATGCAAATATACTTACATAATCCTTTGTACGGGTTTGGGTGTACTGTGTGTTATTATTTAAGTGTGTACAAGTGTTCATCCGTGCACTTATTACATCCACACTTACAATACCTATAAGTGGTTCACCATCTTAAAGTGTCTTATTGCTTCGAGAATTAAGTGTGTCCGCGTCAATCTCTCTTTGCTCTTTCTGCTCTCAATCTATCTGTACATTATCTGTTTTCTTGTTTATCGCTTTATTTAGGCCTCTCTCACCTCTTGACCCTGGTATCACCTGTACTCTACACTACAGGTAACTTGACCCTCAGTTCCCACGCTTTACGGCCTAATGAAACTCACACGTACTCACCTGGTTTAAGACTCGCGTTATAACCAAACCGCATTGATTGCGATATTGTAATTCTCGTGCTATAGCGAATTTAGATAATTAATATACCATCTTTAAATCCCTCGCTATAACGAACCATAAATTATATACCGTACCTGATGCCACTCGCTATAACAAATCTCAATAATTGTAATACCGTATATCAAGGTTCACACTATAACGAACCATATTATGATGCATCATTCTCTTAAGCCTCTGATTTAGCGACCCAACAACTAGACTGCTAACGAGCCTGACCTAACACATGACTGGTTGAACTACACATCGACCTAACCTAACCTAACCTAACCTAACCTAACCTAACCTAACCTAACCTAACAAGACACTGCAACACAACCCTCATCTATCTTTAACCGCATGACGTCACTGATCCTTCAACCAATCAGAACCTGGCTGACGTTCTCCCCCAAGCCAGGTCTGATTTTCCCCCATTAGTTAGGAGAATGACTTAGGAGTTTATGATGGATGTATGTTAGGTAGGAGAATGATTTAGGAATGTATGGAAGATGGTTATAGGAATGTGATAGCCCAACATGAAGGTTAACATACACGTGATGGTGATAACAATATTATAGGAAGTTTTTTTTAAAGCTAATTAGCAATGTCTTGAAGGTGAGTTGGAGACACACCTGGCCATGAGGAGGAGTGTTGTTATTATTATTATTATTATTATTATTATTATTATTATTATTATTATTATTATTATTATTATTATTATTATTATTATTATTATTATTATTATTATTATTATTGTTATTATTATTATTATTATTATTATTATTATTATTATTATTATTATTATTATTATTATTATTATTATTATTATTATCATTATTATTATTGCTATTATTATTATCATCGTCATCATCATATCATCATCATCATCATCATCATCATCATCATCTACATTATATTATTTTCTTTTCTTGTGTTGTTATCAAATCTTCAGTTAGGTCTTTTCACCAGTTCACTCTTCCTTTCACTTATTATCCTTCTATAGACAGGCCGAGCGATAGAGAAAGTGAACGACCTATTAGAACTGCTACAGATTAAATTAATGTCAAGGTAAACTGCCCTGGTCGAGTGAGCATGATGAGACCTGGCGAGAAACATGACTCTTCACCTTCTCTGTTTTATGTATCGTAAAAGTGATGATATGGTGATAGGAAAGTGATGACATGAATATGGAAGTAGTGACTCGGCCTGAAAGTGATGAGACACAATGTAACATGAAAATGAGATCAGTCATAAGCAGGACTCTACGAACATGACTGAAGTACTGCCTATAATGCTCTCAGGTTAATTATGGACAGGTAAATTATAGACAGGTGGATAATTGACAGGTTAATTGAGGCAAGTGAAATTATAGACAGGTGAATTAATAGATAGGTAAATTATAGACAGGTCGATAATTGACAGGTTAATTAAGGCAGGTGAAATAATAGTCAGAACCAGAAAGACAGGTTAATTAATGCCAGATATGACTTGATTATAGGTAGGTTTATTATAATGACGTGAATAAGAGACAGGTGATATGTAGAAAGGTAAATTATAGAGATAATTAATAAACAAATTCGTTGAAGCCAGATTTAGTATAGCCAAGAGGCTTATGAAATCACACACACACACACACACACACACACACACACACACACACACACACACACACACACACACACATATACAGTACACAGACACGCTAACATTCAATCGTACTGGGAACCAATTTTCGCTCTAGTACACAGGTGGACATCGGTCTCGCCAGGTAACCGTGGGATAGTCGGGGCTACAGTACCTATGAAATTTGTACATGACGGTGACGAGGGAAGTTAGTGGACGTCAGTTACCTCATAAGACTTAGCTAAGATCCGGTACTGGTAGCTGAGGTTTTACTCCAGTAGTGTGTGGGTGAAGTCTTACTCCAGTAGTGTGTATAAGACCTGATTGCCATGGTGTTTAAAGACCCTGGCAACGTTGAAGGTAATGTTAAAGACCTTAATTTAAAGACCTAATTTACCCCAAGCTTGATCTATCTTATCCCAATCTAACCTAACTCAACTTAACCAAATTCGATCTAACCTAATTCAACCTAACTTAATCTAAACCACGTTATCTTGGTCATATACATACAGTATATAATTCTCTTGTTAGTCGTGAATCATGAATCTCCATAAACGTCATATGTACTTCCTTCAGTGAATACATATTACCTATTCGCTTTCTCATATGCATATGTTTAGACACAAGTACTAGAAGTAATGTCAACTTGTGTTAGTTAATAGCGTGTTTAGCTTAACTTAATGTGAGTTAACCTTTCTTTATGTGTGTGAAATGTTTAAGACAACTTATTTATTATTACGTATTTCTCTTTAATATTGTTCATATAGTTTGGTAAATATTTAAGCTTGAAATAATAATTGAAAAAAAATCGATGTAAATTTGAAACATGAAGGCTGTCAACTGTTCCAGGTTCCTCTGTGTTTACTAAAGTGTGGCTCTTCATTCATGGCTGCCAGCTGTACCAATAGTTATGTTTGTTTACCTTACACACTCGTCTTCACTCAAGGAATTTTAGATAATTTATTTAGCCATCTGTACACACTAGATTAACCTTGATAATAAGATTAGTCACCTTTTAGTATTCTTAAAGGTATATTGTTCTTATTATATACGTATATTCTCAGGTATATCAACATGAATACCTTAATATGTTAGACTATACCGGATAATAACTGTGATATCCTATAATAACTATATATTGTCGTATAAACTCTGTGGTG